TGCTACTCGCCTTCCAGGATGGGGACCGCGTGATCCCTCACTGTGCCTGGTTGGAGACACTACCAGATATGGCTGCCAACCGATGTCAGTGGCGTTCTTGTTGTCAGTTTCTATCCAGATTGTCTGAGTGAATGCCTGGAGGTGTAGGCACCTCGGAATGATTGTGTTAAGCTAGCACTAAGTCCCTCCCTCGTCCACTTTTACTCTTCTCTTTACAATAAGGCTTTCAAATAAGTCATGGTTGTACGGCAGCGAAGCATCGGTGTTGAACACTGATGTCATGCTGCCAATGATGATGATGGTGATGATGATGAACGCTAGATAGATTAAATTGAAAGACGAGGTCATGCGCAAAGATTCGTGAACCTTCGAAGAATACGGGCAACAAGGTACCCTAACATTGGTGAAATAAACACACTTGGAACTCAGTTGGAGTGATATGAAATCCGTTGGGTGTACCCAATATCCTTTGCCGATCCGGGACCAGCGCAAAACGACAACTTCAACCATAGGTCCAGGTAGATGGTGAGGGCATAACGATCTTAATGAGCGATAACGTCCCTAGCTCTGCATCGTGTCGATCCAGGTAGGTGCGAAGATCCTAAGGTATCCAGTCCTTTTGTTTCGCGTGGATGTTCATTGCCTGCTCCGCCGTTACAAAATTGGAAATCGCACCTCTTATTCGATGGCTGTTTGACTTAGTGTGCATGTCCCAACCGCCTTAACCTGGCAAGCTGTATTTGCTGCCACAGTGACTTCACTTTGTTACTGAGTGCTAGGTTGCACACCACTCGGCTTCGCACGCGCTTCAGCCATTCCAATTGTGATGTATTACAAAGGCTCGAGGCATCTGAAGGCGTTCAAAGCCTGCCTAAAGGGGAAGCAAGCGTCACAACTTACGAGTAAGACTGACCTTGCAACCGCTTTGTATACGTGGCTCTTTAGTTTCAATGAAGTTCATTTCTAATGACGCCGGTTGGCCGGCACTTCCTGTTGCAGTAAATCTCACGGTTTTTTTTGAAGTCTCCCAAATGCGCAGGCCGAACAGAATCAAGCCCCTGGCCCTGAGGTCTCGAAGGGACGTGAGGTTTGGGAGTCCTGGAGCAAAATTTTGCGCTTCGAAGATTAAAAATTCAGGAAGAAACGAAGGACCACTTGTGGCACAGAGTAGATTGTTCGGACTGATTCTCATCGAATGAAAAAACGCCATCCACATGGTCCAGGTTCTGTGACCTTTCCCATATTTCTGATCACTTGGATTCTGCACTCCAATACTGTATTAATGAAAAAGCTGAACCAAAACGGATACAGAAATCAGACATGCAGTCCTAGAGACACTTTTATTGCGCGCACTTGTACAACTGGAAGCACGGGGATGAAGTGAACCTTCTCCCCCGTTTAAGCATATCTAGGGGTGTTCTACCTTGAATCAAATGCCCGTTTAAGGTTAAAAACATCGACTACTGGTCGGCTGGATGTGGTGCTTCCAAGACACTTGACGTAACTTGAAATGTGGTGTGGGCGAAGTTCTGCCTTATGCTCTCGGACTTGCGTCCCAAGTGCCTATTTTAAGCGTCGTGATACTGATTGAACTAACAACTGTGTGACACTTGTACGTGTATGATTGGGAATCGCTTCTAGCGCCTCTTCGAACGAACGTTCGAAAACCGTTTTATTTTCGAGAACGCGTTCAAGCATCCTAGACAAACCCTACGCCGACTTTGAATAACGGTAGTCAGGGTCCATGTGACCAAACCGGCCGGCGGTGTTTGCAAGTTATTTGCCAAGCTCGGTGGACAGATAAACACGCTGGCGGTGTTTCAAAGTTGGAAATGCTGTAACCAGTTCATAAAGTGTCTAAATGGGTTGCTAACTAGAAACACACCATTGCACTTCACACGTACTTGTTTGTTCATAGCTGTCGAAATACGTGGTTTGATTCTGGCTTGTAGAATGGTTCATTCAGGTGCGAGTTAATTCCAGTGCAGCTGTCTGGTACCACCAGAGGAAAATAACATACCAATCCAAACTATTGCACTATGAGTCAGATCGTAATGATGGCAGCCAATTTGTGGTCCTGAACATAGTTTATTGCTGCGACTAGATAGAAACAACATTTGGTCATTTCTCTTCATTAAATCCACGGACGTGTATCCACGCTGGAGGCTAGTTTTTAACACGATTTGATTATAATGGATGCATTTATTCGCACAAATTTGATGGAAACTCAAATGGCAAGCTGTCAAGGGGTTTTCGGGGCACTTACGAGAAGTGTGCTATGGTAACTGTTGACCATGCAAATCAGCAGAGATCGTCTGTTCCGTTTGTATAGGCTGATTCGTGGACATTTTGATTAGGTGTGCCTCTGCCACTAACTCGTCATCTCTATAGGTCTATCAGAGTTGAAGACAGTAGTTCAACTTATGGCATGGTCTACGAACCTGAATCCATGGAAGCCTTCGCTAACCTTCTGACACGCTACAGATCTGAGAAGCTCCAGCTCGTAGGTGTCAACTTCGGTAAACTGGCTCTCATGAGGAGCATGTAAAGACTGCAAATAATACCAACCGTCTTATCTGACACTCCGTAAAATGTTTTAGATAAACGGACGCGGCGACCAGCAGAATCGTTGGAGGAATCACGGAAACCATCCGCGTCATCAAGTTACTTGGCGAATTGTGTCAGGCCTATTCAGGTAGGTCAACACCACAGGCGTTTCTAGTTTAAATAGTACAGACGGACGCAGAAAAGTACCCGGGATTCTATATTTTTCAAGAGTCGCTTTTTGGAAACGTTATACTCCCCGCTTTGCCACGAGTTGAAGTGGTGCCCAAATAAATGTGTTTCCTCTGTTTTTAAAGTGTTGTTTCCTATCTCATGGCCGGGGAAAACGATGCACTGTTCGTCAACTAGTTTACCAATGATTGATATCGCTTTACCAAACCTGTAAGACTGAGGCAGTTAAGCTACAGCACCAGATTGGTCTCACTTGATTCAAGCAGAGGCCTAGTACCTACAACTATTTCCTCGCGAGTGTCGTAAGCCGCGCAATTATAACCTGAACTAATCGAATAAATTGGGCTCTAAGGGGTGTGCCGTACCACGCCAGACAATGAAAATTTGGCAATCTACCAGGAAATTCATCCAGTGTTGTAGTTGAAACAGACATGGACGTGCACCACGAGTGCCTTGGACAACAATTATTGTGTGCTTTCAGGCTTACGGAACATGAATTATTAGCAATATCCTTTCAGGTAATATGTCTTGACGCAGACAACCACACTAGAAGTCAGTCGGCATCTAAGGACGAAGGGCGACCAAGTACCATCAATGAAACAATCGTTAAGTAAGGTAATTGGGGTTGAAACTCCACTCTAAATAAGAAAAAACTTACAATAAATATGCATATAATGGTAATGTACAGGGTGTGTACGGACAATGAAACGTATAAATTCAGTTGTACAGGTTTAACTCGGTGAAACAAAATAATAGAACAACTGTTAGGTACATTAGCGCACCCTCCTGCGCTGCTTTTCTATGTTGGATGGCACGTTCTCATCATTTGCGTTCTTCGCGCCGCGAAACGGTACATGCCGGGTAACAGTAGATACACCATCTTGGAATTTTGTTTTAAACAGGACATTGGCATTATTGAACATTCCATCCTTTAGGGAAACAATCAGGAACTGTAAATGGAAAATAACATCAATCATATTAGTTGTTACATTGGGAACCGGATACTGACTGTCAAAAAATGTACTGCAAACTGGAAAACATTCTGGGTTGACGGAGTTGTGGCTGGTAGAGTGGCAATTAAAAGCGATCCGTGCTTCGTACGTATGTATGCCACAAAGCAGCAATGGGATTGAATGTAACTGCAGCAAACAGACTGTCTCAGCTTCCTGTCAGGCTAGCACGGTCCTTGTGCATGCGCAACAGTTTCTGAACCGTTCTTGGCACCATCTATCGGAACAATTGTATTTTGCTTCCTAGTTAGCCTTCAAGAGAAGGCTCTAAACATCGCGTGGCTCTGCACTACGCTTCGGTGGCCAATTCTACATAAATTTGTCTCGGGTTGCCCCCATGAGTGGTGCGACGTTCAGTGCGAAGTTTCTGCAAGCTCCGAGGGAGACTCAAGATAAGTAGGGACGGTAAGGAAAGGCGCTACGACCAACTTTAATCTACTAATGGCGAGTTATACATTTAGGGTATCAGGTCAATTGGATAGCCGCAGTTATAAGAAGCCGACACCTGGATAAAATTGCACACATCACCAGTAGAAATAGTAACACATGGCATTCTGGAGACAGACCTTTCCAGATCTTATGGGGGAACTCGTAAGATGCGCCACCTAAGAAGATGGTCCCAAGTGTTGGTAACGGCACTGGCACACGTTGAAGTGGATGCATAGCAGTACCCCAATGTCCACCATACCGTGAACGTTTATTCGAAGACATCTGTCACGTCCGCAATGTTTGGTAAACCTCGTAAGCTGACGCGTCAGCTAAAATTTGCACAAATCGCTGGGAAGAACCCTGTCAAAAAATGAGGTGGCCCAAGTAGAGAATAGAAGCGTCGAACTTAACGCGACAAACGTGATTACACCTCGAGGGTTGCACACAGTCCCGACGGCTCGGGTCGATCACACAAGACATGACATTGCAGGGATCGCCTACCAATTGATCTCTAGGGAAGCTACTCACTACCTTCCCGGATTGTGCACGTCTGCTTCCAAGGTGGAATTTCGTCTCGTCAAATAATACGGAAAACCCTAGTCTCATACGACACCAAGTAATTCTAAATGGGTTGTGGAGCACCTGTTTGACTTCCAAGAAGTTTGGAAATCAACTGTGGTCAAAGTTTATACCGGGAGGTGATAGAGACTTGGGTTTGCTTCGTGCAACAGTGACTTAAATTTCACCGGCAATGTTCACGTGCCAGCTACTAATTTTACAGACTGATCCGATGCTGACGGAAACAATAGAAGCGAATGACCCTTCAAACCGAGGTGAACGTCACGGGTATGCGTATATGTCACTACGTGGTGGGAGTCTGTAACTGAAGAGGCAGCACCAGTGTTTTGTAATACGCTGTCGAGAACGCGGTCTTACTGGCTTGTTGACGTAACTGGAAGTAGATAGTAGCGTGACGGCTACTTCTGGGGTAGCACGAGGTCGCATTAGGTACGTCACAGACTGATACCAATTATGGATTAGGAAATTGATTCCGTGCGGATGAAATTGGAATGGACGCAGTTCATTTCGAATGGCTCAAACAAGCAAGACCCCGATTGTGCTACTGATCGTCTTTCATGGGCGACAATTTGGGATATCCTTGTGGCCGACTTGTTGGCCACCAGATAGTTGCCTTAAGGAAAATCGGGATAACGTTAACACCTTGCCAAAGGCCAAGATACCGTCAGTTTGCTCAAGCCTAGACAGGAGAAGTCGAGATGCAGGGCTTGGGTTCGCACGAACCTTCCGATCATTATGGTCAAACATTAACCACTAAGTCATCCTGAGTGCGGATTTCGCACTAAGCTTAATCGATTCGGCAAATCCGAAAAGCTGTACAACTGTTACATCCTTGCCAGTAAATCATCGGTTAGCATCTGGTAATCCGGATATGAAACCACACTCACTCGCGCTTGTTCACGGGCTACCTGACGAGCATTAAGGGACCTGCTCAATTCTGAAGATAAAAGTGGTCAGGCAAACGTTATGTACTTCCACATTCGGTCTGTCTACACCCAGTCACTACCCGGAGTTGGTGCAGGGTCCAGCGTTGATTCACCATGTGAACCAAAGGTGTCCAGCGGTTACTCTTCCCATTTATTTTGGCATGATTTACACCTGTTCGTCAGGCGCCGGTCTTCTCCCCGTCGCCTTTTCACATGCTATCGATTAACGTATACTTGACCCCTGGATATCACCAGTGAGGTCCCGGCCGTCTGTTCCTCCTCATATGCAATTCCGCACCTACTTTTTTCGCATTGGTCCTCTGAAAGGACCTCTTAGCAGAAGATCGAACCTGGAACACCCCAAACAACACTGGACCATGTTATCTACCATAGTAAGTCAGCCTCCTCGTCACTTTTTACTAATACTTTTATGTTACGTCTTACCTGATAGTCTGCTGGTTTGTTTTAAACTGACCGAAGTTCGAACCTCAGTTTATTTTCGTTGCATTTACAGTTTTAACATCCCATCGCTTAAAAACGCGGATAATTTCCGTCTCCTTTTTATTCCGAACTACCTCCTGGACTAACTGATTCCCGTGTTCCCGTACACGTCCTCTGTATGCTGCCTGTTCATGCTGACTTTCGTATATTCGTATAACATTTGGTTTTTCCCGTTACTGATTCTTGGAAGTTCCACCGACTCATTGTTCCTTTTCTACTCTTACCAATTCGTGCTACTGTCTATTTCATACTGTTTGATAACTGATTCGTGTGTAGAACCCGTTATCAATACAGCATCCGTTGCCCTCTTGCATCTGTGCTCACTATGTACTGAGTGCAAGCTAATCCGATAGCTTCGAGTGTTTTGTAAGGTCCTAATCCATCCGCATCTTACAACGTTAGTGAACAGCGTCGCTGTAACCCCGAGGGGAGGCATGAACGGCGTCTACACAACGCCTGTTAAGCTTCTTTACGATTTTCCTGACTTTTCCCTCAGTTCTGGAGCAAGAAACATAATGACCTGATAGAGCTTAGTGGTCGAGATAGAAATTTACAAGCTTAGTCTAGAGATGACTAAACTGCAGAATCACCCTACCGCTACAAACAG